AACACACTAAGCCAAAGGCAATGCTGTCAAAATCTACTTTTCTCCTCTTCGACTCTTCACTTCCAAGAAGATATTACAATATTCTTAGTGCACTTGACTGCTTGCCACTCCTGGGATGCAATCATCAACTCAGCCAAAAACGGAGCCACTTCAAAACCTGCATGCGATACAGCTGCCCTCACACAATCTGCACGTGGATGTCTACACATGCTTTCATGTGCCGTGCACCAAATGCATTCGCACAGGACACGGGGACATGTGGAAGGTGTGCAGCGGCAGAGACGCACACTCAGCCCCGCGTGCCCGTGTACACAGGTTTTCAACTACCCCAACTAGAGCCGCTCCAATGTAATGCTGAACGTGCAGCCTCTGCGCCCTTGGGATGCACGCTGCAATTAATGGGTCAAAATAACGCTGCAGCGTGTAGTGCTTCAGGGCTGAAATCCTGACTTTTCTGGACCTCGAGAACTCAAGACAGCAGCTCTTTACCCCAGGGGAACGTCACAGGCATCACCTCTTCCCATCCCTCCATGAACAATCCCTACGAGCAGAGCCACCAGCCCTGGGCAGGTCTCCCACCCAACGGACACTCTCTAGCTGGCACGGCACTACGGTTTGAGTGAGGAAACCTGGAGGAAGTCTTACGGTGTGTGTTGTTCCCCGCAAAGGGAACAGGACAGACTGCAAGGACAGAACTTTTCTAGAGTGCACAAGTTGGCGTGACCAGGCCCCCGGGCTGTCAGGGTGCTCTCACCTTCAGCAGACGATGCGAGACCTGATCTTTGTATCTGCCAGTATCCCTGCCAGCCTCTCATTTCAATCACAACTTGATTTTAGCAGCTGCTTTCTCTCTCTCAGACACGCACATACGCACAGGAACGCACCCTCTCAAGTAGCTGTAAAATTCAAGCTTAACTGCGTAGGTAGGGCCTCTTGTAAAGCACTTGGGACTCATGGAGGGAGGGAGCTTCAAAAATCTGGAGGATTATTGCCTTATGCCAGGATTTGAGAGGGCTCCATCCCTGGCCTCCTTGCTCTACCAGCTCTTGAGACAGCACTACTAAACTCGTATCAGCACTGTGGAGGAAAAAAGCAAGACGAATAGAGGAAAACAGGCAGCAGAGGATGCCTGAGGCTGGCTGACGTGATTTGGAATAGCTAGAGAAGTCTGCTGGAGGCTCTTACCTCCTCTCCAGCCACTACCCTCTCATCTACTCTCCTCATCCCCGATTTCACCTCTCTGCTTCACCGCTGTCAGCAAGCACAAACCCCAGCTCAGATTGGTGCTGGCCACGACTCATGGTGTCCCAGCCTAGTCTGGCAGCCACAACAGCATCTGCACATCTATTAAACCTAAGGGAGCGTTTGGGAGGTGGAGGTCAGCCTAAGCAGCATATGGAGCAACCACGTGGTGAATACCGGCCTCCCCAGGAGCTGTCTGCCGCAGATGGAAAAAGCCCAGGAGCCATCACAACGAAATCTTCTGGCTGGGGGCGACGCATCCTCTCTGTCGGCTTTCCAAGCCATTGAGCAATACTGGAAACCTCAGCTCCTCTCCCCCTGTGCGCGCACCTGGCACTGACTCACTCACTGCCGTTTTGGTCCTGCGGTTTGCCAGTGGGAGTTGCAGAAGGTGGGATGTGGCGATGAGGTAATCCCAATGGCGTGTGGCTACTGCGGCGGAGGGGGACTAGCCACCCACTCCAGCAGCATGAGTCGGCTATGCATGACATGGATGTGCCACCTAGATCTGGGTCCAGCCTGCTGCTGTGGTCACGGGGATTTTTTAACCTTGACTCTTGGTGGGAATGTGATACACCACCACGGGACCACACGTGGTCTTCTCCTGGAGAACGATATCCCTTCATGCAGTCTGAAAGCTTAGTCAACGTGCAACCAGGAATGCAGTTAATAGCAGGGAAATGCAGGCGGGTCACCAGGAGCAACGCTCCAGCTGTGAGATCTTCCAGGCCAAGGGACACGATGTAGTCCACAGAAGCAATGGCGTTTCCCTGGCTGAAATCACCCACAAACTAAGCACAAGCTCACAGCCCCGTGCTGGCCAGAGGCAGGCAAGGGGAACCACCACTGTTTCTCCAGCTCCAATTCCTCGGAGCACTGCAATTCCTCTTCATCTGAAACCATTCCACTGGTTGCAATTTAAAAAAAAAAAATCAATCCAGCAAACATTGCTAAGCAACTGGCTGTCAGTGCCACATCCCACCCCGCCGAAAGTATTTGCCCTCTCCATGACCTTCTGGCAAGGAGCTTGCTGCTCAGCCCTTGCCAGATTTTGTATATTCAGCTATTGTTGGCAAGTCCAGATGGTTGGCTGGATTAGCAAAGAAAACTCCAGGAAATCTTCTGCAACCATCCTGGTGAAAAACACCCCACAAGAGAGGCTGTAAGGAGCAGCAGTCCCACATTCCGGGCACTAGGATCAGGACTACGAGGTGCTGGTCTCAGGGCATTACCGTGGTTTGCAGGTCTGTGAGTCTCGGTGCTGCTGCACATTGTACAGAGGGGGTAATAGATGGAGAGCAAACACGCTGAAAACCTGGTCGGAGAGCAGAGCTAGCTGCTTGGGGCAACAACATCTGGCTGAGAGGCTGAAGGACAACCTGCTTGCCCATGGGGACATGCTCAAGAGGTGGGTAAGACCCTCTCCAAAGTCTCTTTCCCCTCATGCGAACTTTCTTCGGGAATAGCAGCAGGGTAGGAGCACCTTGGCATGGCTCCTAGCATGGTGGTGCCCCTTGGTGTGGGGCCTGAGCTAGGATGCACCTTCCCCCAAGGTCAGCTGGAGAAGAATCGAGGTCTGACTCTTTGGGTTCACATTCATACAAGCAAGTCTGAGCACTTCCAGTATGGCTTGCACAAAGCAGCCTAAACCAGGTTTGCCATCGAAACCAAGTCTCTCTCTAAGCACAGCCTCCGGCAGGTCACACAGCATGAGCCCTAGGGGCTTCCCATCTCTCACGCTAGCCCAGTCTGCAGTACTCAGCTCTCCCCTCTGCAGGAGGGACCTCTCCTAGTCAACCCTATGATGGATTCTCTTTACATGTTCTTCCTGCACAGCCACCAGCAATTTCTCCCTGCTCTAAGAGCAGGCCATGCTCATCCACACTTTTCCACCCAGCTCCACTGGGCAATTCAGGACGTGCTCCCAGGTTGCACAGTAGAGCCAGAGCATCGCCTGCGGCAGCCCCCTGAACACCTGTGCCATGAGCAAGGATTTCTTTCCGGAGAGGTCTTTGCAAACTCTGCACCTCCCTCTCCCCCTCGACCACCATGCCCGGATCCTTCTCCCTCCTCCATCCCACCCATCAGCGCCTCCCCCAGATCTCCCAGCAGCCCCATTTCCTCCATGGCTGCTCTAATGCTCGGCTAATAGTGCATCAACCACAGCATTGTTCAGACATATTCAATAAATCAGAATCCAATTACCGGGTTAAGGAAATTGGAAGCAAATGCAATTAGCCCCAGCCCCTCCCACGTGCTGTGCCCTCGCTTCCTCCTTAATGAGAACTTTTCTTTTGCAGGAGCACTCAGTGCCGCATCTGCCCGCCCGGGAACAAGGTGGCTGCCACCGCACAGCGGGGGTACGGCAAGGGGGCAGCCAAGTCGATCTTCCCTTTTAATAGGGCAGATGGTTAATATCCCTGGCATTAATTCTCTCCAGGAATAGCACACTCGCTCTCTCCTCAGCTATAACAGGCGTCCATCAGGGCTGACAGCTCCTCTCCGGAGAAAGGAGCATCTGGTCCTTGCTACGAAAAGGAGCTAAAAGAATGAATAAATAAAAAAGCACATTGCTTGCTTAGGGCTGGAGAACTGGTGCTGTTTCAGCATTTCAGCCTAAAAGTGCTGCATTTGGACTGGAATAAGGGAAATTCAGAGTCGGGTCAGATGCCGGGATTTGAGTCACTGACCTGGGAGCAAGGTGCAGCCTGGGCAGCGTGGGCAGCAAGGTGCTGTGGTTGGGTCTGGCACAGGACTCCCACTGGAGCAGGGCTCCCCCCAAAAGGGGTCCCAGGAGAAGGCAGTAGAGGACAGCTGCTGCCAGTGGGCTGGGATGTAATGCCAGACACAGCTCCTCGGGAAGGGCTTGCACCGGCTGTAGGCTGGGGCCAGGCATACGCTGTGCCCTCAGAGGACAAGGAGGAAAACTGCATCGAGGGAACCTTGGGAGTATTTCCTACACCAGCGGGACACTCCAGCATCACTCCGTCCAGCAGACTAACAATTAACCCCACTGACCATCAACAACCTGCAGCCACGAAGGGCAGCTCTTCCCCGATGAGTTTGGAGTGGCGACCGGAGGGAGGCTACAGCTGCACTCAAGGCAAGCGGGGGTACACCAAAACTCCCACCCCGCCCTTCCCACACTAACAGCAGCAAGGGAGCACGGGTCCTGCAAGGCAACCCTTGCTGCAATCCTCCCTGCCTCCCTCAAGAGGTCCTCTGGGAGCCAAAGGATATTTTTGACCCTGATGGTGCTTAGCTTCCTCTCCCCCTCCCTCAGCAATAGTCCCTTACTCCCCACATTAACTCCTCTCTCTGCAGAGCAAAATAAGTGCTCAACAGTTATTTTATCCCCCTTGCACTGTCTCATTGCATCCTCTGCAAAGCAAGAGTTCCTAGCACCAGTGAAGACTTCGCCCATTGTGGAGATGCGCCCTCGCACACCCATTACTTTTCTGAAGGAAAAATAAAAGGCTTTTCCTTTCTTTCCCTATGGTCCTGGAATAATTTATACAGGTTTTAATTAATAGGTTTAGGACTGCCAGACATGCCAAGAAATCAAGCAAAACGAAAGATTCAATCCTAAAAATACAACCCAGGCAGAACCAATCCCAAGCGCACCCACTGGGCATGGGTGAAGGGCCCAGACCCACCTAGCATCCCAAAACCACAGCCCTGCAGAGGAACGGGACTATCCACCCATATAATGAAGCTTCGAGAGGAAGACCAGGAGAAATCGGGGGGGGAGGCAGAACCTGTGATGGCGGGTGTCACGGATGGCGCGGTCACTGGGGATCCTCTCGCTCTCCCGCTGGTTAAAGGCATGGAGCCGGTACGGGTCCTCGCCGCCCTTCCACCTCCGGGCGCTCAGGTACCTCCGCTCTTCAAACTGATCCCAAAGGTCGTCCCAGTCCACGTCCGAGCCCTGCGCGCACAAAGTCAGCCCCGTTAGAGAAAGGAGAGACTGGAGGACACCTGACCCCGCTCCAGAGGTCCTCCCGAGCCCCGCTGGAGGTCGGTCAGCCCTGCGGCACAGGCAAGCATCGCAAGAGCAGGCTAACAAGGAGCCTCATTAGGTCTTCAGGGTCTTTTTTTTTTCTTAGGTCTTGAAACAGCACGTCAAAGACAGCCTGCCAATTTGAATTTAAAATGACTAATTTGAAACCAAATTCAGGTCTCTGGTGGATCCCCCTCTCAAACAGCATGGTCTTGAAAAATATAAAAGCACAAAGGTCTTGTTAGGGTTTTAATTTCTCTCCAGCCAAAAAACAAAGGTATTTTACACCACATGCCCCATCGCCCCTGTAACCCTTCAGGCAGAAAAGAGCCATCAGACAGGAGCAATTTCATCAAGGACAATCCCACGTTTCCACAGCCATACCCTGGCCCCAGGGCCGGCTCCAGCAACGGGACCCTGGAAGAAGGGGGCTGTCATCCTCCCAGCCCAATTTTGGTCCATCTTTGCCACAAGAAGTCTCCCACCGAGGACTTCAGCCCTACCACAGGGAGAAGAGCAGGCAAGCATGTGCCTGTGCGGTCCCCACCCCCCCAAAAAGGATGGAGGAGCTGCATTTCAGGGTTACCCGACAGCTCCGACAGCTCCGAAAACTGTCAGGGGGTTTAAGCATCCCTTAGTGGCTTGGTGCCATCAGGGGGTTTAAGCATCCCTCAGCAGCATGGTGCCGATAAGATCTCATCGTTACAGCAGCACAACCTCTTTGATCTCAGCCTACATGTAACACGGAGAGATGCAAACATTTACAGACATCTCAGCCCTAAAGAAAATTGTGATCTTATCCAATAATTGACCTTTTCTTCTTTTCTTTTTTTGTTCCCCTCCTCAGTTCACACCATCTCAAAGCCGATTTTGCCTGCTAATAGAGCAAAATGAAGCTTTTGAAATGGGCGATTTTTATCCCATAATTGATTTTACTCGCATCTGGCAGCACATTTTCTCTAGTCCTAGGAAGGGGAGGAGGGAGCACCGGCTCCTGCACGTGAACAGTGGTAGGACCAAGCCGGGTGCCTCCAGGCACATGATGCCCCACACTGCCCTGGGACACAGTGACACGAGCACCCCCGAAAAGCCAACAGAGCTCAGGGATGCAGGGGTTTCCAGATACAGGGTCGTATTCATCCTCCCCCTGTGTGACCCCACGGCCTTCTCAGGAGCTCCTCCAGCACTTACCCTAGTGCAGGGGAGATCAGAAGAACCCCCTGAGCCACCACCCATACTGGGAGAAAGTTATTCAGGACCAGGAGAAAGCTATTCAAGGCTGGGAGAAAGTTATGAAACCAGTAAGGTCACTGCAGGAGGTTTACGAGGAGGATGTACGTAACCTGCCTGCGGGCTTTTGGGAGGATTGACGTATACAGGGTGATAAATATTGTTTATGTTTTTTCTAAGGCATCTTGCAAAACGTGATTTACCGCCGCAGTAAAAGATCAGGGAAAAGTGAGCCGATTCCACCACGGAGCCACCGACAGCCTGACGTTTTTAAGATTTCATGATGACCCTGAGGGGCCTGGCACTGTTAAAAGAACTGCCACAGAGTTGCAGTCCCTAAATTTTAATGCTGTGAAAAAAAGAAAAAGTTGGGTTTATCAAACTTAATAAGAAGAGAAATGGCTTTTAAAAGCAGCCACATAGCACTTAAGGCTGTTGTGTGCGTGTGTGTGTGTGTGTGTATATATATATGTTAATGTCAATTAAACCAAACGGAATCATAGAATCATAGAATCATTAAGGTTGGAAAAGACCTCTAAGATCATCGAGTCCAACCGTCAACCCAACACCACCATGCCCACTAAACCATGTCCC